AGAGAGGATCTGAATAAAGAAAACCCCAACATTATTCAAACAAGAAGATATCATTTGAGAAACTACAGCAAATGTTTTGTTGGCAAAGAATTGGTACAGTGGCTAATAGACACACACAGGGTTCAGGACAGAGAGACTGCAGTATTACTTATGAGAATTCTTCAGGATCATTATGTACTGCATCATGGTGGGTACATGTACATCTGATATTTATTAGGAATAATGGGTGATTATTTTTCTCAACTATAAATAATACTTTCTTTTGTGTCAAATTGGTATATTTGTTATTCTGTATGGTTTGACATCATTGAAGTGTTTAATGTCACTTCATATCATGTATATGAATGAATATTTTTATATTGTATATTTATTGAAATTCACATATCTATATACATAAAAGATATAAATATAAAATTAAAAATTAGAGAAAAATTATTTTAAATTTTTTACCTCTGATCTTTTCTTTACTTATGAGTTTGTAAACTGACAAATAAAATGATAACAAGTAATTTAAACAATACATAAATATTGTTCATTTGGTTGTTTTATTCATAGTAATGAGTTTGTTTCTCAGCTAGAGGTTTGCATAAAGATAAATAGAGTTTGTTTTAGTTGTAATAAAGTCCATATATAAATTTATTTCTCATACTTGATAGGCGAATTCTATTGTTCCTTAAAAGAGTCTGTTGCTGCCATTTTTATATTCAAAAAAATATTAATTATTGCTGTGTTTAAATGAAGATATTTTCATTAAATGGGGTTTCGTTACTTTGTAATTTTGGACAAAAACTTTTCCTCTGCTGTGGCCTTACACACTAAAAGATGTATGCATTCAGTTATGAACAATGAGATCCCGTATTTAAAAAGAAAGATTAATTAAATATTAGATTGATTAGTACTTTATTAATTTTTAAAATTAAATGTCAAAATAAAATTTAAAAAAAAAATTTTTTTTTCTGTTCCCCATTGTAACCCAGTACACTTCTAATTTAATCTTAACCATGATAAACTTTGTAGATACTTAATCACATCAAGTATAATATTGGGAAATGGCATACAGATAAATGCTTTGTGAATAAAAAGCAGTGAAAAATAAAAAATATATATATTTATTTGCAGTGTGATTCAAAGATTAAAACACTGTACCTTTTTGGTTTAATTTGTGTTATAAATATGTTTTATTGAAGTAAGAGACACCAAAAGTAAATAAATAAGTTATTCTTGATAATATCATATGTAATGAAGCCTGATATATATATATATTGGCCTTGGTCTAAGATATCAAGACAAATTACTCTCAGCACTGGTTGAATGCTGATTGGAGGTGACTTTGATATGTATGTGTAGATAAGAATAGAAATACTGGTCATAGTCATACAGTAGGTCATGTGTACATATGGCCCGGAACATGCCACTGTAGCAGCTATTCTTTGATAACCATGATAGTTCTGATTTAGAAGGATTTTGAAACACCCAAAAATGTACACATACTATTCATACATGCTTATAATGTTTATGTGCCATAGGTGAAAGTGCTCAAATTATGACACAGACAAATGTTTATCATAGGCACTGTGGTCAACAAGTTATACTGAATACTTTGATCAGACTTTCTGTCACCCTGATGGGGCCGTAGCAATAGTCCGAAGGTTCAATAGTCCGAAGGTTCATTGGTCCGAATATTCACTATAGAACCTTCGGATCAATGAACCCTTGATTAAAAAATCGATGAAAATGTTACCACTTTTCGGACCAATGAACCTTCGGACCAATGAACCTTCGGACTATCGAGACGCCCCCACCCTGATAACCAACCTTGAATTATGTGAATAGAGTTTTTGGCTCTATTTTGGAATAATGGTATTAGAATATCAAAACTATAGATAATATAGACTATTATTATTATTATATCAGTCTGGATGACTTTTATTGTACCCATGATGTTAGGCATTGATAACTCCCACAATGTACTGGAATATCATAATTCAAACATTTGCTATTATATGTATCACAGATAAGGGTCTTTTGCTTTTGTAGTTTAAGAATTGTGGGGGATGCAGGGGGGGGGGGGGACATTATGAATGAGACAACTTTTGTATATTGAGGGAAGAGATTGAAAGCATAAAACTTAGACATAATAATTTTAGGAGCAAATTTCTTATATTTCACCTTTAATCTTCTATTGTAGTATGTGATGATCATCAATTCAAAGATGAAAAGTTGTTCTACAGATTCCGAGTTGATGATGACTCATTTCCACAGAATACTGAAGCTGCTCTGTACCTTAGAGCATACAGTCTGTATAAGAGGTGAGGCGCACAAGCCAAATTATAAAGGCATACAGTCCACAACCAGGCTAACTTTGACCAATGCCCTGTAGCAGATAAGGTGTACTGCATCTACAGGTCATTGCCCTAGACCAGACATACTGGTACAATGTACTAGTACATGTAGTGTTACAATATCTACTAGTATGTTATGAGAATGTTTCTGAAGATATGATGAACAAATGTTGTTTGGGGTCAGTCAAAGAATTATTGCACTGAGTGAAATATTTTTAATGTGGTGGAAGATTTTTAAAGAAGCATTTTAAAAAAGGCTTGTAAGGTATACAGCACCTGCATCCACAATTGTTGTCCCCTTAACATTTTTTATATGCATATTGTTGCTCTGCAAGTGACATGTAAAAAGTCAATATTAATTGTTTCCACCAGCTTATTAATGTTTATTTTTCTGTAATTTAAAATTATCATTAGAAAATAAATGCAAAGCTTCAAAATGAATCAAACGAATATATAACATTATCCAGCACTGTGTTAATTTTTATTATGACCATTATGAGAATGACTTATTTAACACCTTTACATGTTTTTACCCAGATTACTTGTAACATGGCCAGAGATAACCCAGGAGCATGTGGTCACAGACACAGGACAGGTGTACACAGATGCTTTCTATGGCTCCACCTTGGTAGACTGGCTGATACACCAGAATGAAGCCTCCACCAGAGAGGAAGCATTTTTGTTCTGCAGGGACATGGTGGAGAGTGGGATACTCAGACACAGTAAGGAAAAAGGAGGAAATGGCACTGAAGAAGACTTGTGATTCTTACTGTTTGTATATTTACAAAATAAAAGGAATGTAATTTGTGTATTGAGGACATGTGGATTGATTAAAATGTTTTACTCTGAGGTTTGTGCCCAGTGCACTGGCCTGCTTCTTATAATTAAAATTTCCATGTATGCTTTCTAATTGATAAAGGTGCAGATATGGCAGTTTGGCAGCTTGGAAAACCTTGCAAGTATCAGCACTGAAGCTGAAGGGTAAAATGTCTTTGAAGGGTAAAATGTCTTTGAAAAAAGTAGAATGTCCCTTTAGATTTTCTCTCCTTGCTTTAGTAAATCATGAAACTGAACCTTGCCTTTTCTTTAAAATTCTGATGCTTTATTGATTTTAGTCACTGATGACTACCACTTTAGAGATGGGCACACTTTATATAAATTCAGAGATGACTTTGGACAAAGAGGAGTTCTAACTGACTTATTGAAGAACAAAAGGTCTGCCTCAAGAGAGTCGTTTTCGTCTATTGGTAAGATATTTCTTTGATAATTACTTTAAAAGCCATTATGGTTTGTGAGAGTAACTATAAATAAACTAGAGTTGGCTTTGTCGAAATGGAGTTGACACTGAAAACTTAAATAATAAATTGTTTGTCCTTTTTATTTCTACATCAAGTTGTACAGTTTTCTGCATGGCTGTGTTCAGAATAAGAGTTATTTTACTAGCATGATCTTAGCAGGGATTCTCGCTAAGACGCAGTCAGTGTAATCAGCTTAAATTGTAATCAAATTTAATTGTCTGGCATACCCCCTTAAAACTTAAAGTACTTGAGTAAAGTCAGAAAAACTTTAGTCCATTATGTCGTTCTTAATTGTTGCTTTGTGAAGGGGCATGCCACACAATTAAGCTGATAACATATTGACTGTGCCTTCAATAATTGACTTCAGCAAGAATAGCAGTAGAAGTGTTATAAAAAGCAAAAGTGAGCAAATCTGTAAAAAAATTTCGACCAAATTTTACCAATATTGTAGGAAGTAGCAGGAGCAACACATCCCTCACTCAGTATTTCTACTGCCCTGAAAGAAATCATAAGACATCAGAAGCATCATCAAGCTCAAATGATAGTGTTTCTTTAGATGCTGATGCCACGGAACAACCAAAGTCAGGTTAATATCATGTGCAAATTAACAGAACACTCAAAAACTTAAGAAATCTGTTCTGATATTAAAGATGAAGTAAAGAATAAAAGGAAGTTGAAAGTAAAGGATTAAGAATACATTCAAACAATTTTTGCCCCCCTCCCTTTCTCTCTCCCGACAGTCATTTTATACTTTTTTGTTCAGTTCTACTGACTGGAGTCACTGTAGAAGAGTTAGAGGCTCCCAACACACCATATGTCAAAAGATGTATTAGGGTAGGTTGGTTTTATTTCTTTTTAATCCACTGAGAAAGATGGTATCATATTCAGAAGGTTAAAATTCAGCTAGTGTCTAGTGTTTTTTTTTTTCATTTGTTAATTTAATCATCTGCTAATAATGACAAGGAGTTCCAACTGTTGGAAATCTTTGATACATAATAAGTGATCTCGAGTCAAGTCTCCTGGTTGCATTGTTCACTTATCTGCCTATATTATAATATTCTTGTACTGTATATTCAAACTACCATATTGTTCTCAACAAAACATTTTGTTTATAAGAATAAAGTCATTGTCATTGCTAAAGCATGGGTACCGTTTAGAGGTTCCTTTTGGCAAATCTTTATCTAGAGGCACAACAATGACAAATTCAGACTCTTAAACAAAATGGTAGATTTAACTACTCCACCCTCTCTCTCTCCTCTGCATAATCATCAATTAAAAGTGCTTTTTGTCTTCTGTAGGTCTGCAGTGATTCTGTTGGGTATGGTTTTGTTATACGTGGTGAGAGTCCAACATACGTCCAAACTGTTGATCCAGCAAGCCCAGCTGCTGCAGCAGGAATCAAGGTATTTGGTTCATCTGGAACCTTTTTCACAATAGAACTTAAGCCTGGTCACAGGTGATTGGTCTTAAGTTACATTTGTTCTGTTTTAATTCAAGACACATGTATATTTGTAGTAGTAAACTTAAATAAAGCAAGTATTCCCTCTGAAAGACTAAACATGACAGAACAGGCACAATATTTCATTTGCAGTTGGACTAAACTACCAGTACTTCTGATACAACTGGGCCACAGTAGACAAAACTCTTTAGAGCACTTTTCAGACTTAAGATCTGAAAACATTTTGTGTGAATGACACTGTTCCCCTTACTTAAAATGAACAGTACAGTACAAAAGTGAAATAATTTTTCCAGGTGAGGCAGTTCTTGTACTCCATAAATGGCATCAATGTACTAAGGAAGAATCACAGAGAGGTGGCCAAGATTATTCTGGGGGCAGATGGATTCCTAGATATTGAAGTTATGATGCACTTCAGGGAATCCTCACTTTAGTATCCCTCTGCTGGGAAAAAAATACCCTCCAATGAAATGTATTATTTAAACGGAATGTATGTAATATGCCACAAGTGTCATACCTCTTTATTTCCAAATCTCAACATATGTGCAGTTATTGATCAAAATGCATGTACATATGAAGGAGTGAAATGCAAAAGCTGGCTTGCTTGAGAGCTGAAGTGGTAATGGAATACGCATGTTAAAGATATTTTGTAAGATCATTAGTTGATGTGATGAAAATGGTGCTGTAATTACATGTATACTATGACATACTGTATTTCCACTGTACGTTGAACGATGGAGTTATTGGTTCAAATATTAATGTTCTCCCCTTTTTATTGACTGCATTATGCAATAACAGTTGTCATCATATTAATCTAAAATGTATTTACTCAAGGTGCTTCTAAACAGGGTTATAAATTATATTGGATAAAGTTGTGCAATAACATTTTTCAAAATGCATCTGGACTGATAGGGAGTGTGTGCTATTAAACCACTTCAGTATGTGCCCTGACAATCTTGATTTCAAATTCAATTTTTTTTTCTTTTGATGATAAATGTGTAAATAGTAAAGCAGCACAACTTTCTGTTACTTTTAAGTAAAAATGAAAAAAAATGAAAACCATTTAATGTCATGACATACATGAAGTGGTGCTATTAATTAGTGGACAAAATTATTGTGCCAATTAGTCCTCTTAGTTACTGGTGTTTTTATGATTAAAAATATATAGTGGAATTGGATTCCATTGCATCTCCAATTTACAATATTTTTATATATTTTTGTAAACAAAAGTGGAAGTATCTGAATTTCAACAAAATAAAGTTATCTGATCTAAAAGATATGTTTGTACTATTAAAAACAATAACAATGGAGTATAAAACATTTTTTAATTACTTACATTATAAAATGTAACTGCAGGCATAGTCTGCATTCTAACAAACTGGATCAGTTGAATACCTCTGAAACACCATGTATACAACTTTTTCTAATTTCAACACAAGTTTAAACAGGTGTATGTCTTCCTTTGTTTCATATAATCTTGTTGGTCCATACTTTACCCNTCTTATGGCCGCTACTCCTGTGAAAATGCACCGATTGACCCCAAATTCACGGAGATGAAAGATGACCTGAAGGGTAACACTTTCCAATAATATTATTGGTTAAGTCTGTGTGGTGTCTGAATAACAGGGCAAAAAATTTTTTTTTCGTAAAAAATTTCATTTTTTTGAAAATTTTGGCCCATTTGACCTTGAAGTAAAGGTCAAAGGTCAAATCCGAGGGTATATTTGAAATCTACACATATGACTTTTGGAAAGCCGTCTGTAGAAATTTTTCCCGTAACTCCTTCCGTAGGGTAGATAATTAGCATTTAATTTTGCCATTTTTGGACAAGGGTGCATTGCAATGAGTGCCACACCCAGACCCCAATACCGACAAAGCCCAAATTTTACGTGGAACGAGTTGAGATTATAGGTGACCTAAATCCATGAGATGGGTATGGGGGGCCTTACCGTCTAGGAGGAGAAGCGGTAACGGTAGCCGTCCGGCGGAGCCGGCGGAGCCGGCGGAACGATCCGGACGAGACCGAAACCATGTGTACCGCCAGCGCTAACGCTGGTGGTACAATGATGACCAGTTAATTTGCAGTGTAAATCGCATAACGTGGCCCAAAACATTTATGTTTGAGAAAATTACAATGTCAGGTTTCCTAAGATCACAGAAGCCTTAATAAAACCAAAAACGTGCAACACACAGTCAGACATATATGTCTTTTGCCAGCTTACACCCCTCTGGTCCTTTTACTAATGTCTTTTTCTGAATTTACTGAGAAGAACAAAAATATTTACATTTAACTGTGCTGCAACAGTAAGCATAATTAACATTAAGACCAATTTTTAGTTATGTGAAGTGTTTTTCCTGCTCTGGTGTAATATTGTACATGGAAGCTTCAAAATGCATGCAGACAACTATCAGGCAAATAAAACAAATAAAACTGAAAGACTGTAATTATGTGTCTAACAAGGTTATTTTATGAATACATCTATTCCTTGATATTGTTCAAGCTAGAAAAGACAAAACTGCCACCAGTATTTAATTCTTCAAAAGACTTGTCTTGCAGTTAAGTGTATGTTCAAAAAAGAGGAAAAAAGTAAATTTATCACCAATCAAATTTACAGCATATTGTAAAAGGTTGTATTCCATTAGATTTCTAAATCAGAAAAGGTGCAAAGTAAAAAATGCCAGCTCTCACAGAATATGCCTACAGAAGAGGAGCAGTGAATTTTCACTCTATTTGAACATTTAACTTTTTAATCAAATTCAACTGTCAAATAAAATGGGTTTGCAGTTTGTGCCATAAAATTTTGATTATTATAATAAAATATAGAATACAACTATTAATAGTTTGAAGTAATTTGATAACAAAATAATACTGATTTGACAAAAATCACATTTCTGTTGTAAATAATGTGAAAAATCCAATCAACAGCAAGTATGACATTAATTTCAAATGAGCATTTGGGCTAGATTTGAAAACTAAAAAATAATTTTTTGTCTAACATTTTACAGTTCAGGTACAATAATCTTTGGTATACAAGAAGTAAAAAGGAAAAGGGATGGTAAGAGAAGGAGAATATCTTCACACAACAAGTACATGTAGATTTCACAAAATGCACTAAGAAGATAAACACTAGCCATTTTTGTAATCAAACAAATTAAAGAGGTTCATGTAGCAAGGAAGAGATTTTACACCCAAATGTCTAGTATTGAGCAAATCACTCCTACACAAATTCAGTTTTTGCTTCCTATTTTCCAATATCTTCATGTCTCCTTCTTGCTATTTTGTTGTGGTTTGGATAATGAGAATACATGTATCTGAAAGTGATCAGCCATCTGCCATACCTGAAATGAAAAACAATATTGGAGAAGCTGCAAAGCATTCTAGGTGCATGAAACAAATGTTAATACTTTCTTTACAGTAAAACAAAATTGATTCGATTAAGTGGTTTATCTTAAAATAAACAATATTCTAACAGTCAGTTGTTAGTCAAGTTACTTTTATACAAAAGGGCACATAGTTAATAGTTCACAGAATCTTTGTTTTAGGTTGTCCCATGAGTCTGGACACATAGACAAAATGCATATTTTTAATTAAAAAAATTGAATAACAGTCCATTTAATTGAAACAAAAAATAAAATCCTCAATATGATTTCCACCATTTTTGAAGAAAGTTTCAATATGCTTAGCGAGATTCACATGTAAAAAAAAAAAAAAAAAAAAAAACTGGTGATATTTCACATTAAGATATAGACAGTAACTGACAATATTAAAGCGTCCAACCTTGATGAACATATTCACATTCGAATTACTTACAACACACATGCCCATGTGTAGCCAGGCGGTTGTGACCAGGCCACTTAACCCATATAATATGAACAGTTCATACTGGGCTGTATCACAGACAACCACCACACAGGTGGCACTGATGATTGGGACTAGAAGCCAGTGGAAAACCTCACACCTCGTATTACTCATCTGGCTTATTATCAACCGAACCTGGAAATAAAATTTTGAAAATAAAATTGAATATGAAGATGGCAGATCTAATAGCAATGAATCATTTACTTATTAGTGTTAGACATATTCAGTTAGGTTGTATGTAGTTTATGTAGTTTTTTTTTTTTTTTTTTTTGGGGGGGGGGGGTAAAGGACAATTCTGAATCATAGAAAAATGAGCCTTCATTTCTTCAAACAAAGTAAAACACTTATTACAAATAACCATTTACTCTAAACTTTATTTTGGTCTAATGTGCACAATTTTTCTTACGTGGGACTATTACAAGCTACCAACAGTAACTCTACTTAACTACAAAATTTCAAACAAATACTTCAACCATAATGAGTCACATCAGTTTAAGGAACAAGGCTACCATCAACAATGGCCTGACTTTTAGAATTGATGAGGAGCAACTTCTTTATTCTCATATTTCCATAAATAAGACGTAGGAAAAAACTTGGATGTACTGAAGGTCTGGAGAACCTTCACTTTAAGAAGTCTGCAGGGCCTCCCCATTCTGTGCAGGTCAGTAAGTCAACGTTTACATATGATTCATTTTTGTGTATTGTTTTTCCACATAAACCTTGCCTGTCCAGAGGATCTGCATTATCAAAAATCTTGCCGGCCCTCTGGTTTTTCAGGGGGTCATGATCAGTCAAACCTAAAGTTTCCCTATGTCTGCATACATGCATGCTTGTTGTGTCTATACGTAAGTGGCATTTGATTCAAGTTAACTGCACCAATAATAAATGTTAGGTGGGTTTATTACTGATATCAAAGGTCTTTATTTGGAGCTGTTAAATCTGAAAGACTGAATGTGTACTTGAGATTTACAGTTAACTTCCTGTTGACAGTCAGCGTCTGATAAACATCACATATACAGATTATAAAATCAAAAAGCTGGTTCACCAGACCAGAATTTCAGGATATACATCAACCCCCACTTACCGTAAAATATGAAAAAGAAGTCCCTACTGTCCACAGAAATATCCTAGGGTTATTATCTAGTACAGCACACTTTGAGTTCCAAATCCACACTGTGTAGCTTACAAATAGAATAGTGGTACAAACTAAGGGACGGTTGGCCTCCCATAGTGAACGCATTTTACCCGTTTGGTCCCGATAAGAACTGAAATATATATAATGAAAAATGAGTATGCAAATAACTGGGAACAAGTAAGGATAATAAATTTTTTTGATAAAATGAACTTACCTTGACTCAATGCTAGAATTTTTATACAAACATCATACTTAGTAACAAGAAGCTTTAAATTATTTCTATAATATATAGACAACTTACCGGTATATGTTATACAGCGATATGGGGAGGGACATGCCAGAGCCAACTGAACAAAAAAATACATTTAATTAATATTATAACAAAAATAGCTGGCTTGTCAAATTACCTATCTAATAATAAGTTGCAAGGGTAATCTTGTTGCCAATCTCTGAATTTTAAAATTTCCAATAACTAAACTCGTATAATTTCAGATAATGTCAATTCATACCTAGAATTTTTGGGAAATCACAAACTTTTAGATAAACATTTTACTGCAATTAGAATATTCACTATTAGTATTTTTTATATGTACCAAGAAGAGTTAAAGCCTTAGGTGTCTTTTGATATACAGAAGTTAGAATTGGAGAGAAATCACAAACTTAAGATAATCATTTTACTGTAATCAGAATTATCAGTATTAGTATTCTTTTATGAATATATACCAAGAATAGTTATAGACTTACATTTTTTTTTATATGCAGAAGTTAGTAAAGATGTTAAAGGTAAGGGTTAACCTACCATACAGACTGATTTCTGCAAGGTCTCCAGAGTCTAAAGTTTTATTCAAAAATGGAATGGTGATAGCAAATTTCCAGAATAAATAAGTCCTGAAGTAAGTGATGGTCATGGCCAAAATTATACTCTGAAAAAGAGAATATTAAACACTTATATTATACCTTTCAGATTCATTTCTCGAAAAATTTTGAATATCAACTGAAGTATGTTAAAATACAATAAAGTGAAAGGCAATTTTTTAGTTGAGGTACTCATAACGGCTTATTCTTTTTTAACGAAAGACAACTACCTGTGTCTTATCACATGCTACAATACAAGTTTTATCTCAAGTGCTTTACAGTGATGTCTAATTGAACAATAATATGCTTAAATCTTACTTACCAGCTGTCCTATATCATATCCCCAGGGAAGATACAAAACTCCAGTATTATATTTCTCCCAATGGGAAAAGATGAAACATGCCATCACACACCAAATAGCAAAATACACTCTGATTGGAGAGATTCCAAACTCCCCTTGCCCAAATATGGAGTATAAGACCACAGGTGTGACATGGGTGATGGAGCTGTCCAGGCCATGGTCAAACAGCTCTCCCAGTGGAGTACTAGAACCTGTTCTCCTGGCTTGTTTGCCATCACAACCATCTGAAAAACAGAGGCAACATAATAATCAGAAAGAGCTCTGAATATTAGAATGACAACTAAAGGCAAGACCACACTTTTACCTACTTGTATTAGGTACTTGTATTAGGTATTAAAAATATCGAAAAGATCGCATCATCGAAAAGATCTAAGAATCACTGTACATACTGATAGTGTTCTTATCATAAAGCTATGCTTAAGCACTAATTTACACTTGTAAATTTTATGTTCAGATGTACTTTAGTATTTTGACACAGAAATAATTCTTTTTAAGCTGATATCCTTAGGTCTTATGCTGTTGTTAGGAGACAGTCATGCCTTACTCTAAATGCATGTTAAAATAAAATATGTATATCTTAGACAATCCACAACCAGTCAGTGGAGAATGTGGGCCACCATACCTAATGCATTCAACAGGGTAATAAATATAGCTCAGGCTATCCACACCCTGAAGGCAAGTGGGAAGCCAGTCTTACCTAGTGTGTATGACAGGAAGATACACATAGCACAAAACAACCACACCCAGTCAGGCACTGGGGGATTATCAGGGTGATCCCTGCTGGAAGCATAAAAATGTGGGTCGTAATATGCCATTACTGCCACATTCAGTAGGAAGAAGAGATAACCAAGTAATGTCATCAAATTTGGAGCCAGCCATCTTGGTATGAGATGCTGAAAAAGACAAGTAAAAAAAATAGCAATAGTCATCATTTTCAAAGTTGCATATGGACGTTATTAAAAAAATATATTATGTGTAATAAGGGGGACAAAAAAATGCATCACCTTAGCCTGATAAAATGCAAACAATATGCATATGTTATAGAAGTTTCCAACTTACATCAACAGCTGTGTAACAGTAAGTTCACTGTTATTCTCACATTTACATCTCTAACTGAACCTTACCTTTACAACCCAATTCCAAAATGGGTGACTGAAGTAATTACTAATAGGATTAGTGTCAACTGCATTGTACTGAAAATATATACAAGATCATTAGTTTCTTGCCCTACATGAATTAGTAGTTTCTTGTCCTACATGCAAAAATTATAAATAAAATTAAAATGCTCAAATAACCTCAATGGAATTTTAGATGGAAACAGAATATATATATATATATATATTTAATAAACACTTGATTTTACTTGTCTAACAAATCAACAAAACATTTTTATGGAAATCAATTTGTCAAAATAAGTGCATTTTTAAATGTTAAAACAGTGAGTGGACAATATAAAAGTAAATCAAGTAGTAATTTCAGCCCATTTCCCAGGTGAGATAAGAAGGTACTGATTTAGCACAAGGGACAAGCAGGTGAGAACATAACATTATCTGCAACACTACCGATAAGCTGTATAGAAATGCTGCAACAACTCCAGCTGTAAAGTCACAGAGTTCATGTGTAGATATCAGCAATCTTCCTCCTATCTGTATCCTAAACCACTAGCTAATTCAACTTACATGTATTTCAACATCAGATGAACAACACACTGCTTTCAGTTAAAGCCCTTGGATCACTTTTTTTCCTTTCAATTTCTCAGTCCAACCTACTTTTATTTTCATTTTATTATTATTAATAAAATGAAAATAATAATATAATTTCATTATTGGCTACATCTTTACATATAGATAACTATTTTTGGACAATTTTAATAGGGATGTCCTATGAACCATAAGTGGCCTATACATATAACATTACAAAGAAAGCAATAACACTTCAAAGAGAGTCTCATGTTTCCCCAATGGAATTTATATATACAAAGGAGATTTTTCAAATTCACAGGTGATGGTGCCACATGGGTAAACTGCCCGCTGTTTAGCCTACACAATAAAAAACTGATGTCAAAGCCCCTTCTCACTATTAGCTACCTGATCACAGGACAAAATATAGCCTGATATGTCACTGCATCTTTACATACAATACACTGTTACCATCCCTCTAAATGGAGGAATATAATATTGTCAGGCAAGTATTATCAGGTTTGGCTTTTAAAGGCAGATATGGTATGAGCTTTTGTACTATACACTGTTAGCAGCCTCAAATCAAAATGAGTACTATGCAATTATGGTATATAATAGGTTGTATCAAATGAGTCAAATGACTTAATTTTTTTCAATGCTTCATCATGCAGGTACACATTGTATGAGGCAAATGGCTCGTAATATTAAGGAGGTATTGAAAGTATGAGTATGTACATGTAGGTAAGTAATGTTACAGTATTCAAGAAGAAAGGATACTGGGAATGGAGGTTTTCCATTTCTAGTAAGGAGAAATATGGACATAAAAAGAAGAATGTTGTTAAAATACTCCAAGTCCTTGTGAAACTAGTAACTGTTTCTAGGGTGGGTCAAACATTATATTATTTACTGCTTCTATACTCTTAAAAACTCTACCACTTTTAAGGTCATTCTGTCATATGTAAAACTTAAAAGATAAATCAACTCAGTGTCAGATCCAAAAAGCAAGAAAACTGCTACTGAAAATAGAAAATAGACAAAAAGAACACACTGACTCAAGAGACATGCATATGAGCATATGAAATGCCATAGGCTTCATCATGGAACTGACATTGGGCAAACCCATACTGTCACAAGCATAGCAAGGCTGGCTCAGCCTGTATACCATTGTCTACAAGCTCAGTAAAACACTTAACAATCTCTTGGTATTGAATGATTGGTGGAATCTGACACTTGAGTTTTCGTGCAGAAATCTGTGAATGGTTTAAAAAAGTTGAAGTGGGCACCCTGTTATGTGTAGCTAAGAAAAGCATAGCTGTTATTTTAAAAAACAACCAATAAGCTCTATTTATAGATGTTTATCAAATTTGATTAATTGGTTAAGGGGACTCAAACACCCCACTCTTTTAGACGGAAAATGTCTAAAATGTCTGCTCTAGACAAAATTGATCTAGGAACGGTTTCACAGTGAAAGGCCATTTTTTTCAGAAAAAGAGACCCCTCCCTTTCTTTGAAATTGTTGGCTAAGGGCCTGCTTTACTTGTATGTAGTCTTTGGATTCATTAAACTCTTTCTTTGTCAGAACAGTTTCCGATTGGAATGGACTCAGTGACCAACAAGTAAACGTTGAAACTGTTGAAAGCTTTAGATCAGGACTACTATTTGACTAAGGCTTCGTTCAAATGCAATGTCTATTTTCTAAATTCTATTTTCTATTCGCGCTATCTTATGATCACGGTCTGTGCCCTGAATATCCCGCCGCGTAATTACTGGCAGCGCGAGCCAGTTACTATAAGTTACTATAAGTAACTTATAGCGCTATCATAAGATAAGATAGCGCGAATAGAAAATAGAATTTAGAAAATAGACATTGCATGTGAACGAAGCCTAAGTTTCCCATGCGCTCTATTCTATCCGTCTACTTTATACCAGTATTGGTGTCTCTAGACGTACATGAACAGATACAGATACAGAACTGATCAAAACAGCAGCCAAGCCTGATTTCTTCATTCATAAATGGGCTTGATCATGATAACAATTAGAGAAGCCACTTAAATGAAAGCAAATCTAATGTCCAGTGGGGAACCAAATTAAAGCCTGCAGTAAATTATAGCCTGTGATAGTGAATTATAGACAAGATTGATCCAAATATACTTTTATATACTTATCACAACTGAGCTGCAGTGTAGCTTGTTTGCTTACAATCGATACCCTTATCAACAAACCTAGGGTTTGGTAAACAGTTCCACAGCTATATCCAACAGACAAAAACCCACCACGCGATCGCGGCGGCATTCCAACGGCAACAGCGGCGGCAGGATACTGACTGTCCCAAGTCAAATTTCATCAATGATTTTGGATCCAGAATAGCGATCTAAGCAGTCATAAGACTACGATATACTAAATTTCGTAATTTACTCACTTTATATCTGTCAAACCCAGCAATGATTTCATCCGAGAGGTAATTCTGCCAGAACATCTTCAATGCTTCCACTACAATGCTGCCCTCTGGTGTAGATGGGCGTGACTAGAAAGGAGAATAACTTGTTGTCGATAACGCTAAGAAAACAAGCGAAGGCAAGGGAGTTGTACTTACTTCTCACCGAAGAGATGGCCCGCAACATAATGTGGTTGCCCACGGATCATTCTGCTTTAGTTCACTGATAGATGATGGTGTTATTTTCATCGGCGTTGCAACTAAATCGCTAATGGGAAAAGGGGTATAATCGCAGCGATTCTGCATTGACAAAAAAACGACGATCTGCAAAAAGTTGGGACTGGCAAATAAAACCACTGATCGGTTACTCATAACAGAAAAAAAGTTCAGTCAAGATGAATAAATAGGTAAGTCAGTGGAGGTGGTGCAGCAGGGTAAGATTTGGTAGCTTAATTAACCACAAAACTACCAGCAGTACTATCGTCGGCAGACTGCATGGTACTTATACTTACTATTCACATTTATTTTAGCTGTACAGTCCAGGTACAAGGCTGTGCGGAATCTGTTCTATAGCTCTATATGACGGTTATGTATTCATTGGTTTATTTATAGCTGCCCTTCGGGAGCCCTTGCACAGAGTCAGCTACTGCGCAGTAATCACTCTATATTAAAGAAAGCTCCCTTCAGATAAACAAAGCAAGGTACAAAGCAAAAGGTTGATGCAAATTACTGCAGTGCCATGCATAAACTATATACAATTCTGTTTACAATTTTGGGTGTACAGAATCATATGGAGATATATGATCTTCATTGTATTTTATGAGAAGACATACCCAGTAGGAAGTTGCAAGCTGTTTCTTGCATAGAATTTAATTAGAAACAGAAGCATAGCTTTGAAAGAGACACATTTGATGTGTACTGTTATCCGAGAAAGACACATCATACAGGTTAGTGAGAAACAGTTAATGTGCATCAGTGTCTTAACATGTTACCTGATGTTTGATTGTAAAGGCCGATTCTCCCTAATTAGATTGCTTTACATGTACTTATGATAAACACATTTGACTTGGTTGTATCTTAATACAGTTCCTGCGGTGTGTCAAATGTTCCACACCTTCTAAAAACACCTGTATCAGAATGCGGCCTTACTGTAAAGCTCATCTAAAACATCTGTCTAGGAAAATGTTGTAATGTTTGATTGAGGTGTTAAAAAGAATTTGCTAACAAAAAGTAGAAACAGTCATTGTAGTTACTAGTATGTTCATCAGTGTATTTTTCACGCAATGAAAATTGAATAAAGTTGATGATCAACTTGTATGATAACTGTTTTTGTGGTCCTGAAACTTTGATCCAAAATTTGCCATAACCACTGAAACAACCTCAAAAATATTTTCTGAAATATGGATTGTTTATATGGTAAAAAATCAATACAAGAAATCACCCAAGAGCAATATGATTCAAATAATAACTTGGGGAAAGTTTTTATAACCTATCTTGTATACCTGAGTGTGTGGAGTTTTGTACAGAAGGCAAGCAGTGTGCCTATTAGATAACTGAATCAATGCCAGCAGAACAGTTCTGTGTCCAGGTATAAAGTTCAAGATAACATTGCTCACACTTCTAGAATGATAGTTGCACATATGTTTATGAATAACAGTGTGCATGAAATTGTTTGTGACTTGAAGTTATTTCCAAAGGGAAGAAAATATGGACATCACAATTTGTAGTGATAACGCAAAGTGTTCAACAAATTACTGTTGATATTTATTTGAGTTGTTTCTACAAAATAAGAAAGAAAGGGAAGTCACTTTTACCATTGATATAAAAGACACATGTTAATGTTTTAATGGATAACTGTTAAGTTTTTTTACTTGTTTCCACAGAAACCATACCATTAAAATTGATCTGGACACTTTTTTTAAAAAAAATCATAATTCTCATTATAACATACTGAGCATGTAACAGTTTCAACAGCTCTTTATTTCATGTTGATATTCTCAGGTGAAGAATACGAGAAGATGTGCTGGTCAGAGCTACCAGATGTCCTACTGGAGGAGGTATACTCCAAACTGACATACAAACAGCGCTACTATTGCTCCATGGTCTGTCGCCATTGGTATGACCTCTTTTATTCATCTAAAGTATGGGAGCATTTTGTACTGGGAGAGAGAACCCTCACAAGAAGACGCATGCGCCCATATCGCAATTCCTACATGTACACCCTCAGCCAGTACAAAGCCAAGATGTGTTTGGATAGAGTTGGGGAATTTTTCAAAAAGATAACTATCAAACCCATATCAGACTATTACAATTTGTATGCCTTCATGACAGTGTTGTCAGCATTTTTGGAGTTCTATGAGGAGTATCCTATGCCACTTCTCCATGGCTTTCATTTTAACTTCGGTTGTGAAAACCGCGGTTTCTCAGGCATAACTGTGCACGGAACTGGAGGGAAGATTCTAGAAGAGTTGAAAAGGTTGCTGGGTAACATGAAAAATCTGGAAGAATTGACCCTGAATCAATTACTACTAGACAAAAAAGAGGCGCCAGGGCTCTTAGAAAGCGTTCTTGAAAACTGTGCAGAGACTCTGAAGGTTCTGGAAATAGTGAATTGCACCAAAGGATCATACCCAATGTTTTATGCAGGGATGTTCATGTCTTTACAGAAGCTTATCATCAGTCCACAGCACCTGAGTAGTGATGTGATAGCCATGCTGGCCAGCACTTCTCTGACAGACATTCATATTGTACAAGACAGGCATACAGATGGTGTGGCCCCCATAAACAGCCAGACTTGGTTTGAGGTCAAGCAGATGTCTCCTCGCCTGCAGGTGCGACTTGAGGCACGTGGTGGGACGCGCGAGGAAATCCTTTTCCAACCTCGCGCACCCGTGACCTCCATCGTCTATGATTCACCATATCTGAAAATGACCCCAGATGCAGTCATGATGATCACAGACCATTACCGAAAAACATTGAGGTTATACGCCCAGAAGGGGCTGCCCAGAACTCATGGCTCCAGATCCTTCCACGAACGCTGCGATGGCCTTGTGCTGATGCTGGTCAGACAGTGCCCTGAACTGAGGGTGCTCATAATTCGGGAGAGGATCTCATCCATGACGCTGCTCCTGGTGGCTTCACAGGCAAAGAAGTTGCAAAAGCTCTATGTCCGGCAGAATGCAGTTCTCAAGAAAACTGATTGGCCGAAAACTCTTGAATGGTCTGATGAGCATTATGCCGATTTGAAAAAGAAATCTCAGTCATATGAACTGTTGCAGAAGGAAATTTCCAGGTGCATGGGATATCCTTGGAAACTTCTTACTGATAAGGAGTTTGAAAAGTTGAAGATTTAAGACAGCAGCATTTGTTGAAATTTGCCTCAAGAGGATTGTTGAATGCAATGGATACATAGTCATGTTATTGCGCACACATTTAAAATGAAACACTTGTCATTTGTCTTCCTGCTCACAGTTTCTCAAAATACAGTTCTATGCCAATTTTGCAGTATGTCCAGTGGCAAGAGAAAGTTTGATGATATATAGGTCACTTTGTGAGATATACTTGATTTTACTTGGAAAGTATTCTCATCAGTTTCGTGATTTATGATTTACCACAATTATACAAGTTTTTGTATTTGTTTTTTATGTTTTTATATGAGCACCCAATTTTTTATATCTAAAATATTCAAAACCTGTGCCATAATGTGTTCAATCTCTTTGGGCCATTGGAGTATTTTTGTCTGAATATTATTATCTGTATTACTATATTTACTTTCATTGACCACAAGTTACTAGAATAATTGGGACAAAGCAGTGAGCACCCAACCCCCCCCCCCCTCTGCCCCAATCCATGCTGATAAGTTGGTCAACATTAGATATATTAAAATGTACATAGCTCTCAAATTCTGAATTGTTTTACTTATTATGACTATTATATAAGTGCACAGCATACCTGTAGCTTACTGTCATGACACTTTTGATAATTGTTTCTTTCTCGCTTTTTGATCTCTGAGGTCTTCCATATAGTAATGTTTCTTCTTTCGTTTTGGGAATAAAATTGTAATGTTGGGAGTTGCAGAGGATCTTGTTATAACACGTTATCATGTTTTGTTTCCATGCGCCAGGAGTTTCATTAGTGCTGAAAGTGTTAGATAACCAGAGAGGCCTGCTTCACAAACCTTTAGTTCTTTGACTAAGTTTAAACTGCCCAAATCGGAAAGCCAATTTGTACCCAAAATAAGAAAAGAATTTATTCAGTCATTAAAGTAATTAAAGATTCACATGTAACAAATATTGTCCACATTGCAATATTGGTCAAAGAACCTAAAAATTATTGGCCAACAACCCATGTACCTGACTTGTACAAATAGACTACTTTCACCTCTGAGAGTTGAAGGCTTCCTCAAGACAATTTCAACATGCTAAAGGGGCTAATAAAATAAATGAAATAAAAACAGGCGTCAGATTCTTTGTGAAACGCAACGTAGTAGGCTCTTATTTAAGTCCAAAATCTGACATTGGACCACATAAAAACGAGGACTGTTGCCGACCGCTGCCATTTGTCAAGTATATGTTTAAACAATATTACGCAAGCACGACAGTACGAGTAAGTAATAACACGGAAGTGACATCCTTTCACGATGTTCTCTCTCCCTCTCTCTAACAATTTTAATAGTGAACGGGCTTTTATGATATATATGCACCAAAGCAATGGAATAATTTTGACTGATAGTTTTCTTCAGTCTTTCAAACAATCAACCCTACGAAAGTACGTACATGTAGATTAAGAAAATTCTGAGCGTTTGTCGGAAGGCCCATGTCGTCTACATAACAATTTTCTATACATTTAAAATTCAAAAGTCAACCTAACTACAGTATAGAATCACTTGTGTCAATAAAATTGATGTGTGCATTTACGTATTGAGGTGACGTCATTTCCACATAAGGCGCAAAACCATCGGTTTCATTAGATGCGGCACCCGACTGGAAATCCACCGCCTCCACAGACAAAGACGTGTAAGGTGCATGCCTGTCTAAGGCGGCTGTCTCTGGTGTGGGTTCCGATACCGTGAAGTGATTATCCTGTGCAGCAGGAGTGCGCTTTCTACGGTTTCTGACGTAGACGGCAGCCCCAGCTAGTATGCCCCACACCACTACTGACACCGAGGCACTGACGACTGGGATGACAGGTACCTGATACATGTATTCTAAAATGAATGAAAATCATTAAAATTTATCAATTTTAAACAGAAACTGTAGATATACTTTATACATTTGAATATCGTATCGTTCACAAAAATGAAAATACGATTTCACATACATATTTCAAAATCTTTGTAATCTGCATTAAATAGGGGATTTATTCATCTGATAACGATATGGCATTTAATTAGAAATAAATATGTAAACCACCTTTTGGGCGAATGCAAGGAATCTTTTCATTTTGCAAGATCGAGTTCGGTAGGCCTTATCCAAAATACAAGGGGGTTGAACTTTCAAGACGGATGTTCGTTGATATCCATGGCATTTAGTCTCTTTCTCATATGCAGACTTAAAATAATATGTGAATCGAGAAACTACATATCTTGGCTTTCTTCGTCCCAAATGTCACCATGAAATATAGTACAGATGCTGAGCTTACTTATGCCCCGATTCGGTCGATTTTAAGAAGTGTGTATCGAAAGGTTCACCAAATCGGTGCATCATCAGTGAGACAATGGTAAGATATGTAGTTACTCTGTGAAGAGCGTTCAAAAAGCGACAAAATACCAGAATTATCAACGAACATAACGTGTCTCCTTCTTTGGGGCAACGTTGGGAGTTCATCCACCTTTGAACTACAGTACGTGAGTGGGGTAAGTCAAACTTGCCTTCAGTACACACTGTCATGTCAGCTGAAGGATGGTAACCCTCGATACATTCACAACCATTCTCCGTACACGTGCTATGCTGTACTGCCTCTCTGCAGTCAGCGGCCCTGTAACATGTAATGCTCCCTATTTTCAGTTTAACACAGTATTCTTCTTGTACAGAATGGAAACCAAGTGGACAGTCACAAACTTTTAGATACGGATGACATTCAAAGCTTAGCGTCGAGCCAGCCGTACAGTGGCCGTCGTCTGAGCACCGTTTCCTTGTGTTAGTTCTGCATACTGTGTCATTGGTGGTATCAGCATTTCCCACTTCACAAGTGGGGCAATCCTCGGTGACGTTGCAGGGGTCACCACGAATGGCTAGCAAAGACAAAATATCAGCAATTAAAATGTAGATTAAATAAGGCTGTATGTGAATGTAAATGTGGCGTTTAAATCCCATTGGTTGGTGCGAAATATTCCAAGAAAACGGGGCTGCCGGTGTGACGGGAATAAGAGTCCGATGTGACTGAAAGTCCGGACCCTCAGTTTCAGCTCCGGACCCCTGGTTTCTGAAACTGAGGGCCCACATCGAAAAAGAGGGTCTCTGCGATCGATTGTGAAACATAGAGTTCGGGCAAAATATAAAGTCCCCCGGACGTTATATCATATCCGGATTCTACGTTTTGTTACAGCTATGACGGGACTCAGAGTCCGCTGTCCGGGTTGCATTTCAATATTAATAGAACACACACACATATCTTAATACAAAGATGGCAAGGTTATTATGCATTAGACTTTATTTAGTTAGAAAATTCCAAGGTTTGGCACAGCGACTTCATGCCCTCGTGGTACATAGGCCATACCGCATGTTGTGTTGCCACAATTTATCGTCACGAAATGCAAATAATTCATTTTTGACTTTAGCAAAAATAATCGTCTCGCCAATATTAAATATTTCGGTGATTTACGTTAGTGGCAATTGACACTTACGTTTTCTGCATGCACTCTCAGCAGAGATATATTTGTATCCTTGCTTGCAGCTGCACGTTCCGTCACTGCACACACTGTCCACCACAGCTGCTTGACAGTCATTATTGGTTGAACACGGTGAGCCGACGGCACGTTTAGTACAGCTCGCTAGGTCTGCGGATACCATATAACCTGCCTTGCACACACAACTGGAATCCGAACATTCACTGTGAGGAATGGGGTCGGTACACATCGTCGTACTTCGCGGCGTTTCGCAAATGTCGTTAATTTTAGCACGTTTGCATTGTGTGGAGTTGAACTCCCTGTAACTATCGCTACAGAAGCATCGCTTCATCCCGTCTGTGTCCAATTTGCACTCAGAGCTACCTGCTGGCAAAATTGCTGAACACTCTCCTGTACTTTGACATGGGTCATTCAGTGTACCTAAAATAGTGTCCGATCATGACAATTATATAAGCGCGATTTAGACTCATGAAATCGAAAATGAAATTTTTGGCTTTTTATTTGTTTATTTTGGAAACCGACTTGGAACCCGACACATGAATGCCGGTGTGACAGTAATGATAGTTTGCTATGAACCATAGTTCGTTCTCTGTTACTTTGTACAGGTGACATTCGTCGCATATACGGTACTTACCCCAGTGCAAAATTACATACGACAGAATAAACATCTTTACACGTTTGCGATACTCTTATTAACCCAAACCTGTGCTAATCATATGAGATCCCTGACTTCCACTCCTAAGACTACCATTCCTCTAACACCGATATAAGCAGGCTAATTAAAATTGTTAAGTAGCCAAGGAAAAAACATCAAATCTAATAGCCTATCTCTATGGTATTAACCATATATACACTTTGGTGGCGCCTTTTAGTGGTACACTTACGTGCCAAGCAGGAAGTAGGGGAGAGCGGGGTTGGTTGGAACAGTTTTCACCTTTTTTGCGATATCTCAGCAGTCAAAGCTTTGGGGACAAAAATAAAAAATCTGATAGGGGAAAATTATATGCCGCACTTATCTATGAAATAAAACATCAAGTAGGTCTTTTTATTTTAGAGTAATAAATGCTCAAAGTTGGCTCCTAAAACGTTCCATCTCACCCCACCCGCGGGGTCAGTTGGAACAGGCAGTGGGGTGAGTTGGAACAAGAGGGCGAGTTGGAACGCTTGCATATAAATTCAAAGTATAATTCATTTTAAGAGTAGGTTTATCTATATTAATTTCCCAACAAGTACGTGTTACTTTGTATTCGTATCTCCATAGTTTGTAAGCATTTTTTACGTTTACAATTTGCTTTCAAATAGTCTTTTCGATGTATAAACCATATCCAGTTACACTTCATTTCATAATGATAACAAAAGTGGTGTAGTTTAAGAGAAAAGAAATTGAACTCATATAACTCAACCTATTAACAACAGTATGTTAGACCTACAAATGAAAACTGTATCTCTTTCAACTCAACAACTCAGAATCAAAATCGCAGTTCTGACATATGTAGGCCCTACACTTGGTCAACCTTTGTACAGTCTTCATGTGACCACTTTAGACAAACAATGCATTTAACCCATTGCTCTTTTGGTCGGCTGTTAATGAACGGCTCCCCACAAACCAGACATGGCCACTCTTCTTCTGACTCAGAATCGCTGGTCATCTTTAATTTCCCTTTTCTTGATTTTCTCTATCGACTAGAAATCTTAAACTGTTTTTTATTTTTGTTGCGCTTGTCCTTTTTAATTTTGTTGGGCTTGGCCTTTTCTTTTTCGAGTAGCTCATTTTCAGGTGTGTCAGTTAGTACTGCACTGCATCGTTTTCTTCTTTTAATCTTTGGAATGCGACGGTGAGCCTTTGGAAAGGGTCTAATTATTGCTGGACTTGAGCTGTTTGGGGTTTTTCTTAAGTGAGCTTTAGTGTGCTGTAGCACCTCTTCCGGTGAGGGCAACTGAGATTTCAACTGAATCTTTGTCTAAGTTACGAGGTGAATGTTTGTCTTTTCTGGCGGATTTTGTACCGTCGTTCACTAAACATTAACAGCAACCCCCAATCCATTACACAAAACATTTAAAACCACATCGGCAGAATTGGTGTTGTATAGTTTATCCATAACATAGGCTCTCAGCTAGAATATTTTCATTTTGCCGCGAAAAGCAGAGTAATAATCAACATTTCCTTCCACATCTAAAAGCAATTTATCGCAAAAAGCAACAGTGGGCATGCAGACCCCTTTCGACCAAACAGCTAGCAACTGCATTTAACAAGCAGTGACCATCCCCCCTTGTATCTTCTACACGCATGTACATTCCGGCATCTTGGAGATGTTCTATCAGCTAGATTCCGTCTCCAGTTGGAGTTGTACTGGGTTACTACGTTACTACTCTCTTCAAAGTTGAAATTAAAACATTTAGAGAGGTTTAAAAAATGAAAAACACCGTGCGGGGTGGGTTGGAACACCCCTGACAGTGTTCCAACTGGCCCCATGTCAAATGTTCCGACCAGCCCCCATGACGTCATGGCCTACTTATGACACTGTATTTCTTTAACACGTGGGAAGTGATTAAAAAAAACAACAGCCTTTTGAACATCAAGGTGGTCCTAAACGCTATGCACAATTTCAGTGATATAATCCTTATACTTTAGTTTACAGCACGATGAATGTCAAAAATATGAAAACTTACTTCGAGTAGCGAAAATAAGTTTTTTTCGCATAAAACTTTTACTGCATTTTCGAAACTTCCACAAGTTTACCGGATGAATGACCATGCCACGTGACATTTTTATGCTGAAGGAGTACATGATCGGTCTTGTGATTTAAGAAATAAAGCCAATGTTCCAACTTACCCGCGTTCCAACCCACCCCGCTCTCCCCTACTATCTGTACTGGGGCGGTACCCTATGGCACATGTACAGCGCCTGGTAGACGTGGAACAAGTCGTTCCTGTTACAGCAGTGCTGCAATCGTTGTCTGTTGAACAACTATCTCCTACAACTCTCTTTCGACATTGCGACTGCCCACTGGTCGCTATGTATCCAAGGTTACACTGACAGGTATTTCCGGTCCCACAGGTCACTTGATCCATCACCACGTCACATTGGTCAGTTGACGTACACGCGTCTCCAACTGTAAGCTGTACGCAAGCCGTGTTGTCTGGTCCTGGTTTGTAGCCAACGGAACACACACATCTCCCCTCCACGCATCTGCTGTTGCCCACAACAGTATTGCAGTCGGTGCTCAAAACGCATGTATCGCCTATTTTACCTGTAATACCGAGACACTAGTGATTGAGTGCTCGACTAATCGTGTGCTTAAATAGAAGAACTTACCCATTTGATGACTTTGTTCAACTGGAAAAGCACTCTGAGAGCGCAGACCTCCGCCAAGGCAGCAAAGTCTCCACCCAATGCCGTTTCACCCCTAAATTGATTATTGATTGATTATCGATACTATTGATTAATGATTGATTATTGATCCGGATACCACCAAAAACTAATCATCTGTTCCTTGGCCCACTTCTGACAGTTCCTGAAAATTTCATCAAAATCGGTCCAAACCTTTTTGAGTTATGTTATGTTGATGACAGACAAACAAACAAACAAACAGACAAACAGGGGTGAAAAAATAACAACCTCTCGCGGAGGTAATAATGATGCCATTGTATAAATTTTCAGATTGCTAGGCGAACTGAATAGAAAAAGCGCATTTAACTAAGAAAAATAATGCAATTTTGTACAAACAACGTGCATGATAGGGCTGTATTATGTTGAAAAAAACGAAAAAAAAATTGTCAAGGGGGAACAACATTTAAAATGAAAATTTTGAATTAGAAAACCCCTCTATTCATCTCCTTTCATCAACAGTTACGAAGCAAAAACCATCGTAACAAAATCATTCATTTATCTGTAAGCCATATTCTGGTATAGAATGATCGTTTGCAAGGAATGGGAAAAGTTACTTGTTTCTCATATCAAATCTCATCAGCAGTCCCATAATTATGAGTTAAACAGTGATAGTTCTCTGCAACATGATTTTGTACTTTCTTGCGATTAAACTTACGTTTAACACACTGTCCGAGGCCGGTGGTGTCTCTGTATCCAGGCTCACATTCACAAAATCTATTGGCACTGCAGACAGTATTGGGTTTGCTAGTGCAGCTTACTGCCGCCGCTGGATCACATTCTATAAAACGAAACAATGTACAGGGGAGGGGGAGGGGTCTTTCTTTGACATGTAACTACTGAAGTAATAGGAAAGTTGACGTAGGCCTATCATGCAAATTTTATGATATCTTTGTATGCACTTTGCATTTAACGATGCAACATATCTCTTTACTTGTCAGTCGACATGTTTCTCATTCAAAATTAAACAGTTTACAAATACAGTTCTTCCACATCTTAAATATTCATACCTGGACACCGTTGTAAAGAACATGGTACTGTATCTGTGTCACCCTGAAGATCAGCTGGGCACGCGAGACCACCATTGGTTGGTTCTGGGTTGTTGCATAGTCTTCTTCTGCTTTTGGTCCCGTTTTCACACGTGACACTGCACGCCTCCCAGCTACCCCAGGGTCCCCAGTTACCATTTGCTAGGGATGGAGAGCCCATATTTATTTATTACAACTCCACAGTTTATATCGTTTTATATATTTTTAAAGATATATTGTTCCTGAATCCGGAGATTCTTTTATTGCAAGTGTAAGAAATGATAAGTGGTGTTTTCCAAATTAAAAAGAATACTTAAACTGAGATCCTGACACTTAGTAAACGTCCACAACAAATAGACAAAAAAGCTATACGTACCTCTCGGTGGAAGAGACAGATCTTCATCTGCTTTTCCATCCCCATCATCTTCAATTGATTTGCAACATTAGCACATAGATTAATAGATGTGAATTTACATATTCATATTCGTAAAAATATTTAACACAAACCTTGTTTTAAACCACGAAAAACTCGATTTTTAAAGATAAAACTGCGTTTCATGTGGAAAAAGCCATCATAAAATAGACTAAACACCCTGAAGAATTTACCTCAACAAGACGTGAAACTTACCGTCGATATTATTTTTGATTTCCTCATCTACTCTTCCGTCACAGTCTTCATCAACTTGGTTTCCAGCTACAATTTTTTTTCCTACAAATGGACTGCACCCCTGAAGGAGTAAAATGTCCTTAACAGTATATAACGAAATTACACTTAAAATGGAAAGACGATCTTTCTTTTCAACTATTCATTTTAGAGGCAAAGAAGAGGACAGCATTGATTTATGAGTGGTGCATGTATTGTATTACCCGAATCTGAAAAAAAAATTAACTATTTGGGACAAAAACTATTCAACCCGAAAAAAGTAACCAACTCACCAATGTATTTTTGGCTACGTTCATCCCTGCAGGTAACATCCCTGTAAGTAACATAGTAGTTACCATTTGTACTAGCATGGAATCCACTTATGAGACTGTAAAAGTTTGCCAAGGGATCAGTGCTGTAGATTTCATGAGCTCCAGGTGATACTGGCATCGAACCCACATAATAATTAGTTGACGCTACTCTAGTAAAAGGCAAAGGCAAGGGTTGGCCATCCATCCTCAGTGTGCCGGCATTTATTGTATCACTCGCAACATAGATTGTCATGTGACTGGACATTTCTGCAGTTGTTTGTCCCAATGTGGTGAAGGTATACCTAGATCTGTACTGGTAGACGGGTGGAACTATGATCATGGAGGCATCTATCATATTTGTGGAGGAATCCATGGATTGTGTAAACAAGGCGACTTGAATTGGAGAGTCGGACCAAACGCGTTTGAGAACATCATTGTTGTAGTCTCTGACAAAGGTGTAGAATTCGGTCACAAATGTACCACTAGCGGCCTCACCGGAAATGTATACCCTACCTATATTTGGATGTCTGTCTTGGGACACAATCTTCCTTTTATACTTCTGTGAATTAGGTGGAGCAGAAATTATGAACTCTTTGCCCCAAGCATCATAGGGAGTCAACTGTTGAACCAGATGATCGGACGTCAGAGTGCCTTCAATATGTACCTTTTTGCTTCCAGAGAACACAGCAATAGCGCTGTTAGCCACTATCTGAGTGGCGGTGAGATCATCACTCTGGAGGTGAAGGGTCTGGTACCTTGACATGGTCACTGTGAACTCGGCATAATTAGTGTGCGTTACACCGTTGAAGGTAACGGTGTTACCGCGTCTGCCTGGCAGCTTAATTGTAACTTCGGTACGGTCTTGAGTGGAAACCACAAGAATCTGTCCTTGGTTTGACCATGTAATGGCGGAATATCTTGAACCAAGGCCAGTCACGGGTATCGCAGTGAACGCGTCTCCAGACCCCTGCTCCTGATTCAGACCATACAGTGAAATGGGTTGGGTAGACATGACGTGAATACACTTGTTTTCCACCTGACTGCCTGTGGCTTTGAAGTTCGCTGGTATGGAGACTCTCACACTCTGTCCCCTTGCTACCTGTGCTGTTTTACGAAAATTGGCATCTTGTTTCGGAGCTGTGACGGTGACTTCTGCCGGTGTGTTTGACCCAGTCGTCATGTAAAGGTACATATCACGACCATCACCATAATCATTGTCCATAAATCCTACATAAAATTCAGTTCCTTCATTGCTAAAAGAAGCTGCAAGACAAATAATAAATGCATTGATAATTCCGTTCCCTTAATTACCTCCCTGTACTGACGAAAACACTGAGCCCTGCAAATTTTGAATGCTTATAGTTAACAAAAGTAGTTGTAAGATTAGAGTTTTAACATAAACCACTCTGATATGCCAAATTAAGTTATGGGTACAAATATTCTCAAAGAGATCCCATAGAGTGTTATCCTCAATGTGTATTTTTATATGCCAAAATATTAATTTAGATGATATGACACATGCTATTTTCATTTCAAGACATCGTCTTTTTATCACGTGGAGGTAAATGAAGGAACCGCGCCATATACATTATTTTTTTTAAAGCAATATATCAATTTGAAAAGCACACATACGCAACTCCTTTTCATTGTTTCATAAGTCCAGAAATAAGGGCCTATCGCCAAATTCACCGTCAAACGTTCGACTGAAATTTATGTTATTATTGTAGACAGTACTAACACCTTTTTTAATACTTCAATTTAACTTGCTTTATATCAGGCGCTCAAATTCCAGTTCAATATTTCTTATGATCTTATATGTTACAAAATTCATATTATTATTTTTATTTACTTCTAGAATTGACTTTTTTACCTATGACTTTGGATCCTATAGACATTACAATTGTCAGATAGATCGACCAACAGGCACGAGACGCCATGGTAGGAGCCGATGGTAACAGCGAACGTGGACGATATCAGTGTTGGAGGGAGAACTGTAAAGAGTGATGTCAAGATAACTGTACTGTACATATTAGAAAAATCATCTGGGCGTTTTGTTTTGACGTGTATACTGTAGGCTGTCTACCGCTCAACTGTACTCGCAAAGCTTACTGTGTGTTTTTCAAAGAAAGCTTCTTATACACAAATGAAAAAAAAAGATAACCAAGGCAAATTGCACTCGAATAAAAACAGAAAAGGCCGGGCCTTGAAAATCTGAATGGAGTCTTGCTTGGTTTAATGTTCATGTTTTAGATATTGAACAGTATCAAGATTGTTTTATATAAAAACCGTCCTGTGTTATGTACATGGACATAATTTTATTTAGCGGCAAGCTATCCAATGAGCTTCGTGTCATAAATTATAATTGAGCAAATACACAAAGCTTGCAAACAATATAGCGTCGTAAACACACGTGTCGCATTCACAATAGTCTGCGGATCAATATGGTGGGCCCTACATGAGAGCAAGACCTTCTAATCCCTAAATGGTCTACCCGCCACCTCACGCGTCTTCTCTGCTGGAGCCGAGCAATTTAAACTCGAAGCCGAAATGTTATCCGGGTGAAGGCGGGGAGACCATTAAAGGATTAGGCGGTTTTGCTTTCATGTAGGGCCTCCATATTTGATCCTTGGACCAGTAGATCGTAGAATCATCTGTTCTGAATGCGACCTGTTTAAGAACGACCCATCTGACCTTTCACTGCTAATTCGATTGAGGCTAGGATCCAAAATATTTTGGATCTTAGGTTGAGGTAAGTCGCCGCTAGCTCGGCTACGCATTGTGTAGTTCTGGTCATGAGAGACAACTGAGATGTCTCGATCCAACTTGACTTAATCAGGCCCGTAGCCAGGGAGGAGGTTCGGGGGGGGGGGGGGTCGAAAGAACCCCACTTTTTGTTGAGCAAAGGTCCCCTCTAGGTACAATTTTATCTAAGTACAAGAAGGTATCATTGTAAAGGTCCACTTTTTCAGAAAAAGATCACCCCCCCCCCCTTTGAAATTGCTGCCTACGGGCCATTAAATATACATGACTTATACTTAACCATTCGTTTTGATTACAACGGCGTTCTGTTATTTACATCTGCTAGCAATATTATCTGCTATATATATTTTCAGTTATATCATCTGAAGTAAAAGCTTACTTTTTAAAACTTGATTTTTGTACCTTGAGATACATTGGCGTGTCCCATATCCAGCTTCGATCTCCTCACAGGTATATTTCACAGGTATATTTATTTTACTTCCGCGTTAAAGTCATAATAACTCTTCGTTTTGGCCAAAAATTGGATTTTCCTGGAAAAAACGGCAATTTTCCCGTACTTACCAATGGCCAACGACCCCATTCCTGCATTCAAAGTTAATCCAGGGTTTTTTTCCTAAACGTACGGTTTTTTGTTAAAATCTCTTAAGAGATTTTAACTGACGGAGCTCTCTCTGACATTGCAAAGTCACTGGTGACCTACTTAAAACCGCGGGAAAAGCAGACAACAACAACACTATATAAGATTCATGAGATATATTCGTCTTTTTGTTAAAAATGCATTTATATCCACAATGTGTGCCATTCTGGGCTTTTCGTTATCCGACGCACTGTACAAAAACTCGCAACTTACGTCTGCGTCTGCACTAATGCGTTTGGCGCCATGTTATTTTGGTCTCGAATGAACGCGAGAATCCGCGTGACACCATTACGTCATTAGCAACGAATGCACTTGTCGACCGGAAAAAAGGCATCGTAAGCCCTATTGACAAGCACAGATTTTAGTTTTCCTACAATAACGGCCGTTTTAGTGGTAAAATACAATAGAATATATTTCCATGCGTTTTTTACAATGTATTTCATGCGGATTTTTGAATCTCAAAGGAAGAGTTATTATTGCTTTAATACCCCCCAATGTGACTGCAGAATAATACAGAGCGTACAGGTAGAATAAAGGCTTTTTTCGTGCATGTGAAGAAAGACGTGTTTACAAGCGATTGAAAAGCGCATAGCTGTTTTTCGATCTAGTAAAAATAGAAAAAAGTGTACATAACCTTCATGATCGAGACATATGTGTACAGAACAAAAATCCATTTTAATTTGATTTCTAATTTTTTACCATGTCTTGACATTGTGCAAAGAACCCTATGTTACGTTCCAGTAACATATGGTAACGTATGTTCCGGGACATTTAATTTTAATTTTTATACCGCGTTCCGATACATTTTGTAGTGATTCAGTCATGGTAAATTATACATGACGTAAGGATGTTTTTTAAAAAATATTTAAACTGTAACTCAAGGGCTTTGCGTCATGGCTAATACTATGTAACGTATGTTCCCCAGAAAAATTGTCAGATGCGAAGCCGACCCCCCCCCCCCTCGCCACTGGAGGGTCCCGAAAATATTTAGTATTTTAGAGGGCAAATGTTGCCATTTGGTACGGTTAAGTACTATGATTCAGTTAGTCAAACCTTTATTTTCACGAGGGAACCATTGGTGTGTTTTTTTTTTTCAGAAATAGAAGGGTGGGTCAGGACCCCCCCCCCCCCCGACACCTCCCCTATCTTGTCCAAGTACTTAGTGCAATAGAAAACAGTATTTTCTGTTGTTGACCAAAAAATGTATTGTGATTCCATGATAGTTTGACATTTCTGATATAATATTTGGATCACGAGTGGAAAATAGTTTATTTAATGCCTAGGCCCTATTTTCCTGTTGGTAGGGTGTATTTCCCCCGTTCTTTCAATATTCAGTGGCAAGCAAAGTCACTCAAAAACAATAAACTGCTCTTTACAGAAGATAATCAAATTTTTTACAACGTTATACTTGTAGGAGATAAATCAAAGGACAAAACCAGTTGATGATTGAATTTTCAAAGTGAGTAAAACATTTCACAGCTGGACGTTTTGCATTTGTAATAGTAATGTATTTTCCTTTTTGGGGCTACACGATGAAATATTTTCCTTATTCATGAATCCAGGAGAGTGAAACTTTGATACAAACATCTTCATGTTGAACCCTAAAATAATCAAACATAGTTTGCAATCTGTGCACTAAATATTTTTAACAGCATACCTGTTACCTCATTTGCTCCACTGCATTGGTATGGGTTTTGGTGATAGGTTCACTAAATTTTTTTATGATAATTCGTTTGATGTCTTTATTTCTATGATAATTTATATTGTTTACATTGATTTTTTTTTTTTTTTTTT